TATATCTGCTATGTCTGGAATTTTTTTAAAGTTCTAATTGCTAATGACACAACTTTATACTGTTTCTGAGAAAAACAACTTCTGACTACTGTGGGAAAATAATTTAATGTATTAAAAATGTGTTTTGAAACAAATAAATTGTATTTAGATTTAAATTAATCACCAACCACCACACAATTTAAACCCAAAGCTAGAGTCATTGTTGAGTATTGAAATAGAAAGAGTAAATTAAATTACATTTCTTGGTGTTGTAATTGATGTAAAACTATGCTGGGAATCTAACAGAATATGTTCAACGTTTATAAAACCAAGAATATTTGAAAAAAAGGAATCATTAAGCACATAATACTGTTCATTAATACTGCCAATACCTGACTTATTGTGTGAAGCTGCGGGTAATACATATAAAACAAACAATCAATCTATCTATAAGCTACAGAAAAGAGCTGTACGAATGATCAACCATTCAAATGACGTAGAACGAACGGTCCAGTATTTCTCAAAACCGACTTGTGTCATAATTTGATACGAGAAATATATAGAAAACAAGGGGTAGGACTAGATCAGCTTTTCTTCCTATTCCCTTTGAACATGTAAACCATGTTGACCTATGACAACTATCGATGTTAATTTTTTTCTTCCGGTTTTCATTTGTATTTTCTAATTTAGTTATTTGTTCAATAAATCAGTCAATCAACAATTAACAAAGAATAACTCCTCCAACCATGACAGATTGCAGGAAAGAGGACAAATGAGTCGGGAAAGCAACAAGGGAGAGACATCTGGAAACATAAGTCAAAAGGAGTTCAGTTCACAAGGGGAATAGAATCCATTTATGCTGCAGTCTGGATCTCATATAAAACCCAATGTGGATTTAATATTATGAATATGAATATGAAACATGTCTGTCGAGGTTCAGGATTTAAGACTTATTTAACGAAAAGAGGAGAACAATGAACAGAAAGTGGAGACATTTCAGACTATTTTAAAGCAGCTGTATAGTATCGCGTGTTTCAGACACGACGTAACTCAATCTACAATTTAGATTTAAAAGGACACCATTTAAAACCAAAAAAATAAAATAATACACAAAAAAATTAACCCTTTCAAGGACAGCAGTTACTACGGTGGACAGCTTATCATGTTACAGATACTTAAAGCACAAAAAACACAAAAATTACAAACTACACAACGAGAAAAAGAAAACAACTATGAAAGACCTCAGTCATAGGCATGTGGCAAAGTAGTTTTTAACCCGCATTTAAAAGTATTCACACTTTCATATGTCTTGATTATATCATTTGAAGTCGGTGAGTATTATTTTCCTCCAACCACTTCGGCCAACATATATTCACCGAAATGTAGTCTTTATGACTTGGAAAGTATTTGGGAGCAAAATGTTACTGTGCTGTGAGCCAAATTCATGATTCACACTGGAGTTCTAAGGACACGACATGTGCGTCATACCCTGCCAGCGATTCGACACAAATCATATTTCAGCGAACTGCATCCTTTCGAGTAGGCAACTGGAGTTGGATTCTCAATGTTGCTAACCTCACCACTGTGTAAAACACTGCAACCAATACTGAACATCTCTGGAGTAGTTGTTCAAAGATAATCTGTCTGTATTTTGGTTATCGGGTGGGATTAAATCTTGGAAATGGGTTGTTCAAAATGGAGAAGAAGGATTCTGAAATCTGTGCCCTGCGATTGGCTGGCAACCAGTTCGAATGTCCCCCACTTCCTCTCCGAAGACAGCTGGGATAGGTTCCACCACGCCCTGCAACCTTTGTGAGGATAAGCGGATCAGAAAATGGATGGATGGGTGGATGGATTCTGAAATCAGATTAGATCATATAATCTAATCCAATTTAAAACCGAATCAGATTTATTGGCCAACAGACTCCAACCATTTTCCTTGAGAGGGAGCATGACTTTAGTCTGAGGAAGAAAAAAAAACCTTAGCACATGCAGCGTACATTAAAAAGACATGTTACAACTGGTCTCAAGACTTGACATGTAGTGAACGAGGAGGAGAGGGGGAACGCGATGCAACCAGTCTGACTAGCAGCTCAGAGTCCATTTGAGCGCTCGGCAGCTCAGGTTTCATCGCGGGGGAAAAATAGGAATCCAAAGAAGGCGGTAATATCGGGGATGTGCGTGCGTGCGCGTGATTATCATGGGTGTGTATTCGTGTCCGCAGTTGCTTATTGTCTCTGTGGAGACGTCCTTTGGCAAACCAGTCTCATGAAGGTATAAGGGTCCGATGTGCGCCGTGCGATTGGCTGGTAACCAGTTCAGGGTGTACCCTACCAACTGCCCAAACACAACTGGGATAGGCTCCAGCTCTCCTCGAACCCTGTGACGATAAGCGGATTAGAATATGGATGGATGGATGGATGGATGGATGTTGGACATGTAGCCTTTTGTTAATTTTAAGATTTCATCAAAATTTCCATGATGTATTTGTTTACATACATTTGTTATTTGTCAGATTAGTGTTCATAAATGAAATCATAAAAAGAAGTTAATGTTGATGGTTTTTTTGTGTGCTTTGTTTAAAAAAAAAACATATTTGGCCCTATTTTGGTAGACTTGGTTCCAGTGCACGGAGTTGCATCACCCCTGACTCATCCGAACATTTAGTCACAGAAGGACTCTGCGCTCGGCTAAAAAACAAGTGCTTTGTCATTTTCGTGCCGGGGAAATGGTCTACTTCAGTCATCAATCCATCCATCCATTTTCCGATCCGCTTTATCCTCACAAGGGTTGCAGGGGGTGCTGGAGCCCATCCCTGCTGTCTTCCAGCAGTAGGCGGGGGAGACCCTGAACTGGTTGCCAGCCAATCGCAGGGCACACAGAGACGAACAACCATCCGTGCTCACACTCACACCTCGGGACAATTTGGAGTGTTCAATCAGCCTGCCATGCATATTTTTGGAATGTGGGAGGAAACTGGAGTACCTGGAGAACATGCAAACTCCACGCAGGGAGGCCGGAGCCGGGATCGAACCAATGACCTCTGCACTGTGAGGTCGACACACTGGACCACTGGGCCGCCCGGTCTACTTCAGCGTGTTGTTGAATTTTGTAGATGTGCTACGCCTTACTCGGTGTTCCTGCCGTGCCCCCTGTCACATCTGCAAATTTGGTTCCAAGAAGAAGACGAGATTTTAGACCTGCAAGAAATGGTGGATGTCATGGTATTTCATTAATAAATACGAAAACAGCATGGGACAATCCCTCTGAAGCATTGTAGAAATTAATTTTTGAACAAATTATAATCATTATCATTTAAAAAAAATATTACTAGCACCCCCGCCACTATTTGGGGGTTGGGGTTACACTCAGACACATGATCAGGGGTGCAAGGCGGTCTCCAATTGCCCATGTATCATGCACAGCCATCTTGGAGACCACTGACATTTGGTCTCATCAGGTAGATAATAATACAGTACAATTGATAATCACTCCTCTATTACTATTGGATATGAATTATGAAGCATGTGAGTCAATCTGCATCATATAAGACTCATTTGATAACTTGAGCTTCAACCCTTTTATGCACCCTGTAACCTGATAACATGATAAGCTGTCCACTGTAATAACCGTTGTCCCTGAAAGGGTTAATATAGGAGTGCAATGCTTTGTTCCATGTTTTCCAAACCGTAGAGCCAAGGCACCAATTTCACATAAGAAAAACCTCACAGTAAACCACCAAACAAAAATATCATAAAAAGTATGGATCTTTAAATAATTACCTTATTTCAATTTAATTACATCTATCTATACGTACTGTGAAATCTGGATTTGCATAGTTGAATACAAAGCTGGTATATTTGCAGAGGTGTCAAATCCTGATCCAGAGAGCAAAAACCCTGCCACAGTTTGTCTTTCGCCACAAGTGCTTCTGGAAGGTAAACAAGCTCCCAGTTGATCCTCTGGAGCTTGTTTACCTCTCCGTTGAGAAGAAGCACTTGTGGCTAAAGACAAAGTGTGGCAGAGTTTGGATTTGACACCGCTATATATTTGCAAGAAGCCATAACTTTTATTCAGTTGTATAAATGATAACAGGGCGATGCACAGGTTGTTTGTACTTTGCGCATTGCAACTAAAGAGCAGTGACTGCATTTGTTATGCCTGTCACTATATGCTGCTGACATAGGTTGAACAACAACAAAAATAATTTCAATAATGATACCGTAACAATAACAGTAGTTAGTAATAATGCTGTGAACATATACCGGTACTTAACCTAACTATCCAAGACATAACTGACTTTTCTTCAAGGCAACACATACCAAACTGAACTGAAAACCATGAGCACAAAATTTATATCTGAACCGAGCCGTAGATTTTGTCAAGCGTTCCAACCCTAATATAAACATATATGATATGCAACCATTCAGTAAACACATTGGGGAGTCATGCTAATTTAGTAGCCGCTGATGGTGTAGTGGTACACACGCCTGAGTTGTGTGCGGGCAATGTGGGATTGGTTCCCACTCAGTGACTGTGTGAATGTTGGTGTGAATAGCCGTTTGTCTCTATATGTGCCGTCCAACTGACTGGCGACCGTTCAGGGGTGTAGTCTGCCTTCCGCCCAAAGTCAGCTGGGATAGGCTCCAGCAACTCCCCGCCATCAGAGTAAACGGTGTTGAAAATGGATAAATGCTAATCTAGCTGTTGGTATTGTTGAACGCAAAGTGAATATAGCTGCTAAATATATGAAAATACCACATTTAGCGACCTTGTTTACATATATTTTTAATCTTGATCTGCCATGATTGAGATGCATGAGATTGATTTAAAGTGACTCTTGTGCAATGGTGAACAAAAAGTCTGTATTATTGTGTTTTAATATCGACAGAGATAAGCCAAAGGCAACAAAACTATTGATGAATTGCTGTGGTCTGGTCGCCTGCCCGGTGATGACATCAGTTAGTTGCAATACATCAGCGGCTATCCAGTTGTTGTAAATAAAGCAGTTCATAGATGAGTGATTTTTTTCAAGAAAATTAGAACTTAAAACAATTGATCAATGATCAGTTTCGACAAAGGGGTTCGAGTCCCACACTTTTCTTTCTGCTCCAGATTTTAAGGTAGATCCTCTTTAACCACATATTTAACGAGGGGTACGCTTCAGAAGTCAAATACCACTGAAAAGACTGAAATGAATTTTGTAAAGGAACATGTTGCAAGCCAATCGCAGGGCACAACCATTCACGCTCACAATCACAACTAGGGACAATTTAGAGCACAGGTGTCAAACTCTTTTTTTGTCAGAAGCCACTTTGGAGATACGTCTTCCCTCGGAGTCGCTGTTAGGACAGTGAAACTGAATAAATGTTTAATTATTTCATTGCATTACTTGTACGCAACAATTTGACGGATTACTAGTTTTCAAATCAGTCAAGTCAACTGTTTGTCCGTTAAATTAGGTTTAAAGTTCTTTTTTTCCAGACAATGGTCTTTTTTGGAGAAGAGAAAGACATTTAACGAGCTGACCGTTTTAGCTGTCACTTCAGCCTTCGTCGGAGCTGTCACTGCTTCCTTGTGACTCTCTCAAAAACAGCTATTGGTTTGTTGTTTGTCCAATTATTGTTTACATGAGTGTCAACAGGGTAACAAAATGATTGCAAAATCTCAGTGTTATTTATTACACATGAAAAATTTGACATTTCGGTAGAAATTTTAGTAAGGATCATGGAAGTTGACTCACATGATGTGCTTTTGGGGGCCACATAAAATGATGTGGCGGGCCACATCAGGCCCCTGGGCCTTGAGTTTGTCACCTGTGATTTGGAGTATAACATGAACCTGCCATGCATTTTTTTTGTGGATGTTTTGGTATTCGTAGAAAACCCACACAGCAAGGCCGGAGTCGGAATCGAACCCTGCATCTCTCCACTGTGAGGTGGATGTGCTAACCAGTCGACAACCATTTAAAGTAAATAATGCTCCAAAATTTATTTCAATGTGATTTACTTTGAATATTTTACACTGTTTAGACTGGACCAACTACAGTCTTTTTCAAGGAAAATGTTCTCTATGAAATGTACTGTGTGTATTAGTACTAAAAATAATTCATGTTTACATTTGTAGTTATAAGTAATTTTGTTGTGGAATGTGATAAAGTTGACTTTACCTTTACAAAATGTATTTCAGGATTTCAAAACTTTTGAAAATACCCAAAATATATGATTTACATTTACCCAATTAAGTGCTTGGAAATTGTTACCCCGAGTTCAAGAGCTTATTTTTTTACACTAAACCAGGGGTGTTAAACTCATTTCACATTGTGGGCCACATACGGCGTCTATGAAATGTACTGTGTATTAGTACTAAAAATAATAATAATTTTGTTGTCGAATGTGATAAAGTTTACTTTACCTTTACAAAATGTATTTCAGGATTTCAAAACTTTTGAAAATACCCAAAATATATGATTTACATTTACCCAATTAAAGTGCTTGCAAATTGTTACCCCGAGTTCTAGAGCTTATTTTTTTACACTAAACCAGGGGTGTCAAACTCATTTCACATTGTGGGCCACATACGGCCTCGGAAGATGTCAAGTGGGCCAGACCATTAAAATTATACCATACTCCGCTATAAATAACCAAATAAATATAAATGATAAATGTTGTCTTCTACTCTGATCAAAACAGTGTGTCCCTAGCGGATACTCCATGAATTGCACCCTATTAAAAATATTAATTCCCTGTCTTTTATGGATTTTTTTCACTTTTAGATTATCCTGCGGGCCTGATCGAACCTCCTTGGGGGCCGGGTCCGGCCCGCAGGCCGTAGTTTTGACACAGTCGCTAGATTATCCTGCGGGCCTGATCGACCCTCCTTGGGGGCCGGTTCCGGCCCGCAGGCCGTATTTTTGACACAGCAGCACTAAACCAAATTACAGTTGATCTCAGCATTTTCGCTCATTTTTTCGCCCTTTTTTCAAAATTAAAAAAATATTTTAGCATGTGCGTGAGTACACGTGTGTGTGGGGGGGGGGGCTACGTTCGTGCGCGTGCGCACGCATGTTTGTATGATTGCAATGATTGCAGGGTTTTCCTACTCATTTTTGTTCCAGGCCACATTGCAGTTCGGGGTCCCCTCAGACACCCGTTATGACTGTGAACCAGATAACGAATATACAATCAGCTCATCATATTATTACATCCACAATAAATTGATGAACCCGTTTTGAAATGCAAAGTCAAGGAAACAAGTTTGTTCGACGTTTCAATCTGATCAAAACACTGTGTCCCTAGCAGATACTCCACGAATTGCACCTTATTAAAAATATTAATTCTGTTCTTTTATGCATTTTTTCACTAAATTATCCTGCGGGCCTGATCGAACCTCCTTGGGGGCCGGTTCCGGCCCGCAGGCCGTATTTTTGACACCCCTGCACTAAACCAAATTACAGTTGATCTCCGCATTTTGTTCCAGGCCACATTGCCGTTCGGGGTCCCCTCAGACAGCCGTTATGACTGTGAACCAGATAAGGAATGTAGAATCGTCTCATCATATTATTACATCCACAATGAATTGATGAACTCGTTTTGAAATACAAAGTCAAGGAAACAAGTTTGTTCGACGTTTCAATTTGGTAATAAAATAATAATCAAATAAAAAAGTGCATGATCAAGGAAGCGACAAAGATGGACACTTCTTGCTCCGGAGAAATAACGCAGCAAGCAGCTCGCTTTTGGTTTTTTTTTTTTCCGAATGGGTTCAGTGTATTGGGGAGAAATAACGCAGCAAGCAGCTCGCTTTGTTTTTTTGCTTTAACCGAATGGGTTCAGTGTATTGATTCTTTTTAGAGCATGTTCACGTTTTATATATCTTGTTTATGTTTCTCATTTACATAATATCGAAGACGAAAACCGCCACTTGAGGATATTAGTGGACCTCACATGAAAAAAAATTAAACATTTAAATTGAACGTGAAGCCGCGGAAAGACGTTACGTTCGAGCGCGTCGGGATCAAGGCGAGAGTTGTTATTGTTCCCCAGTGGAGCATGTTAGTATTTCCGTTTTGAAAACCTGTGTCATTTCGATATTTGTCTTTCATTATATTTGTGTGGCATTTATTTTTATAGCGGTTCAAATACAGGAGAAGTCTCGAAATTTGCGAAATTCAAAAGTCCAGTTCAAACAACATTTTCCCCCTGAACGTTCACAATAGTAAAATGTCCTGTGAAGACGTGATCCGTTGTTTTAAAATGCCGAAATGTAAATTGCCGTGGTTATGTTTTTTTTTTTCTTGCACTAATATTTGTAATGCTGCCTTCGTTCTTAAACGGTGGATTCAGCTAATTCCACGTTTTGAGATTAGGCCTGCACGCAGGAATATTAAAATATTACGAACACTGCAAGTATTTAAATTCATTTAACAATTATATTCGAAGTGTGCCAATTTGAAATATTCATAATGAGACTGAAATGCAGGTATTTCAAACACATCATTATCCGAATGTGATTAAGTTGACATTGTGAGTAAAAATCAATTAACCGATTTTTTTTTTAAATGAAACTTCTGGGCGTTTTTTTTTTAATTTGTCTATTGTGTGTGTGTGTGTGTGTGTGTGTGTGTGTGTGAATGTATTTGTGTGTGTGTGTGTGTGTGTTTCTGTTAGTAGTGTTGCAGTGGTTCACGCAGCTGTGCTTCACATTTCCCATCATCCACTGGCATGACCCAAAAGTATTGTAAAAGCAAGGCCAATTCATGTATTTTTGCTGAAAAGTGAAAACGCCTCGGCTTGACATGCATACTGGAAGAATGAAAATGTAAAGCGAGCAAAAAGACATTATTTTTACATTGTAAAGTGTCCTTGGGTGTCTTGAAAGTCGCTTATAAATGAAATGTATTATTATTATTATTATTATTGTTATTGTCATTTTCTTTTTATTTTTTTAAACTGTCATAACTTTCCATTCTTTTTATTTTAAATAATCAGATGAAAGCATATTGTAGTTACTTTTATTAATTGGCCAATAGCTTAATCAAATATGAGAGGGAAACAAGAGAGCATATCAGCAGTAGGATAATAATAATAATGATCATAAAAATAACAACAACAAAAAACACTTCCGCGCACTCCGCTTTCAAGAAAATTTGAATCTGCAAGATCAACGTAACTTGGAGGAAGGCGTTCATATTTAAATGTGGACCAAGATCATCATCACGATGGAAGCGGAAAGATCATATGCTGACGAAAAAGAAAACAGTTTCTTTTGGATAGCACTGTAGCAAACTAACGTGTCATTATGTCGTATATTTTGGCCCTACATTTTTTTTTCCCGTTGGCTTATATAAGATGGCAATATCCCTTCCTGACTCAGAAAAGAAGATTTACAGTAATTACCACATATTAAGGACAAAAACGAACATGTCTTCGAATTTCGTTTGAGTTTAGCTCTTCGGCAGCTATCTACTCGAGGTGGAAATATTGACTGTGAAATCAGATGGACAGATGTATGCAACGAATTCAATTTTAACCTAAACGTGGGGATCAAAGCCGCAATTTAAGGAGCCCAAAGCCACATTTGGGGTCTCCACTGCCGCTTTTCCAAACCGTGCGCGCCCTCTTCGATCCCCGTAATCTCCCCACTGCAGCTCTGAAAGCATATCTCACACATCTTCATAAATAATCATAAATAACCGTGATGGTCTAACGAGATATGCGGAGCACACATTTGTGTAATGAAAGCCAGACATTAGATTTACTGGACTGATTAGCAACCTGTCCAGAGTTCAACATTGTGATCATTTTGAGAAAAACCAAGCCTTACATTGTCTTTTGATAAGAGGTCAGAATGCAGGAAGTCCAGAATCAAGTCGGCCCATTGCTCCGGTCTGTTGTTGGGCCTTCATCTCCTAAACAACGAAGTACGGGTTTGTATCCCTTCAACGTGACTCCCGGCCTTGAGTCCGCGGGCCTTTTATTCCGTTCCACCCGGGAAGTTGATATGCCGAGGACTCCCTCGGACATCCCACACCCAAGAGGTGTTCACTCGGAGCAGCCTGACCGCTGAATGAGATGTGCACATTTCCCGAGCAAGAAATAAGGCTGCAACAATCCCAGTAGTGTTTACAGTCTGCACTAGAGCAAGTCATATATCAGCACTATAAAACCTTAAGCAGTCGCCATGAATTTTATTATGGTTTAAACGCACTTTAAAAAAAGAGTTGAAGAAGTGCGGGTTGCCGGCAAAGGCAAGGGCATGACCGCGTGGACTGGCTTAATGGTGCTCGTTAACAAAAAAATGACTGTTAATGCGCCAATAAAACAATGGCCGAGGGATTTTGACATGCAGACGGGGAAACATGTAATGTGTGAATTTCTTCGTGGGAAGAAAAAAAATGGTTTTGGTCAAAAATAAGCTTGCTTCTGCAGTCCACTCTAATGTCAAATCAGATTCGTGAGAGTCAACCGCATATTGTGAGTGAATGTGGTTTGCTTTGGATACAAATGAATGGAAAAAAAACACAACAGGACTATGTATTGTTAAAAAAAAATCATTCGCGTTTGTCCACTGTAATCCCTACTCCTCAAAAGGCTTCATTAAACGACTTCAGATATCCACCGTGCATGCATATACACCAAAGAGTAACTGGTACATGATCTAAACATGGAAATCTATGCAGGATTCGAGAAGGCGATCTATTAGTTGGGGGGGGGGGGGGCGAGAGGGCTTGATTTACGCACCATCGAAGCTTTAACCCTTTGTCGGCAATGGCCAATCAGTTTCTCTGAGAATGAAGGCTGCAACACTTGTTTCACAAGCGAGCAACTTGCTTCGAAAGAAAGAAGGGGGCGGGAGAGGCAGA